CACATATGCACACACAATCACACACACACAAACAAACATACACAAATACACACACAGCCACAGATATTTCTTTATTTCTTTATATCCTTTTCCTCTTTTCCTTCAATTTCTTCCGTCCCTCCTTTATCTTTTTCTCTCCTCCTTTCTTCGACTTCTTCCCTTTTCTTAACCCTCTTCCTTCCTTCCCTTTTCCCCCGTCTTTCAATCTTCTTCCCTCTCCCTTCCCCTTTCTTCAATATTCAATTCCCTCCTTCAATCTTCCCCCTCCTTCCTTCCCTTTCCTTTAATATTCATTTCCCTCCTTCAGTCTTCTTCCTCCTCCCTTCCCCCTTTTCTTCAATATTCCATTCTCTTGCTCTCTCCCTTTCCCCCCGTCCTTCAATCTTCTTACCTCTCACTTCCGTTTTCTTCAATATTCCATTCCCTCCTTTTCCCCCCGTCCTTCAATCTTCTCCCTTCTCCCTTCCCCCCTTTCTTCAATATTCCATTCCCTCCCTTTCCTCCTGTCCTTCAATCTTCTCCCTCCTCCCTTCCCCCCTTTTCTTCAATATTCCCTTCCCTCACTCCTTTCTCCAACCTCTTCCCTTCCCCCTCCTTCAAAGTCCGTGCATCCGTTTTCCCTCACAAACAGGTCCTTCAATCATGTTCCTTTCACACTCTTCCTTCGTCCCCATCTTTCCCCTCCCTTCACTCTTTTTTTTTCACCCTTGAGGACAGAGAGAGAGTAGCTAGTCGTGTCCTCACAGTGTGTGTGTCTGGGGGGTGGGGGAGGGGTGGAGGGAGGAGGAGGGAAGGAGAGGGAGGAGGAGGAGGGAAGGAGAGGGAGGAGGAGGAGGGAAGGAGAGGGAGGAGGAGGAGGGAAGGAGAGGGAGGAGGAGGAGGGAAGGAGAGGGAGGACGATGAGGGAGGGAGAGGGAGGAGGAGGAGGGAGGGAGGGTGTGTGAGGGTGCTGGAGATGGAGGGAGGGAGGGAGGGAGGGTGTGTGAGAGTGGAGGGGTGTATGAGGGAGGATAGGAGGGCTAGGGTGTTTGAAAGGGTGGAGGGATATATAAAATGGGTGGAGGGCCGTCTGACAGAGTGTATGAGGGTACTGGGGAAGGGGATGAAAGTGGGGGGGGGGGAGACGCGTGAGAAAGGGGAGAGGGAAGTGACATTGGGGTATGGAATGGGAGAATGTTCATGGGGGAGTAAAGTGGGGGGTGGGGGGAGAAGGTGTCCGTAAGGGAGGAGAGTAGATTAGGGAGGGAGAGGGGAAGGGGGGAGGGGGGCTCTATAAAGGAGCTGAGAGTAGGAAAAAGTAGAGAGAAGTTGCCTGTCGAAGTATCATGTCAGTTCCAGATCCGCTGTAAATTTATCCTTTCTTGTTAGAAGTCTGAATTATCACCCCTTTCCTTTCTTCTCTTCGTTTCTCCTCGTTTCTTCTCGTTTCGGTCTTTATTCGTCTGTTTTTTGGATCATCTGTCTCTTTCCTTTTTTATTTCTTATCATAGTTTTGCATTATACATACCTACACATAGGAGATGCACACCCGGACAAACAAACACACACACACACAATCATCCGAACACACACACACACACACACACACACACACACACACGCACACACACACACACACACACACGCACACAACCCCCCCCCCCCTCCCCACCCAAAAAAACACACACATTCACGTCACCCAAACACACACACACAAATCCACACACACACAAAACCCCCACAGCTCTACCCAACGCCACCCCATTCAAAGTTACTAACACCCTTCCTAAAGTCGAAAATCGCGTATAACTAATGGGGGGAGGGGGGAGGGGGAAAGGGGGGGGAGGGGGGAGGGGAAAGGGGGGGGAGGGGAAAGGGGGGAAAGGGGGGAGGGGAAGGGGGAGGGGGGAAAAGGGGGGGGGAGGAGAAGGAGCGAAGTACCGCATCCTCTTCACTGGCGACTCTACGGATCTTTCTAAGGTCGTTGTCGAAAACTGTGACATTTTTACAACCGGGGATTCCTTCTTATATGACCTCCTTCATAATGGGTCACGACAAGGGGAGGTCAGAGGGTCAAACAGATAGCCTAGTTAAGGTCCAAAATCAGAGAGTTGGTAGAGGAAGAAATGGGTCATAATATGTGATAAAATCGGTGACTGGTAGAAAGTAGGTAGATGTTTTTTTGTTTTTTTTTGCTGGTAGTTTAGAGCGGAAAGGAAAATTGAGAGAAAACTTATGTAATAAATATAGGAGATGGCCAAAAAAAAAGAAAGAAAAAGAAAATCGAAAAAATTATAATCTAAAGATGGGGAGAAAATTGAAAGGAAACAACAAAAAAGAGAATATATATAAAAAAGTCAAATTAAAGAATAAGGAAATAAAAAAGAAAAATAATCTGAAAAAGAAAGGAAATGGAGATAAAACTATATGCCTTAAAATACGAAAAGGTAAGAAAAAAGAAGGAAAAATATAAAAAGAAACTGAAGTGAAAAAAATATATATAGCACAAAGAATCTAACAAAGAACAAACGAAAACAAAAATACAATAGCACCTGAAATGAAACCGTTTTCTTACAGACCGTAGGTAATTTAAGAAAAGGTAAAAATTTGTGGATTGTTGAAATATGTCTTCTGGTGGGTTATCCTTTAAAGTTCGGTCGTTAGTAGCGTCCAAAGTTATTTTCTGCAGCTGTGAAACATCCAGTAACTTTTTCTCTTTTTTTCTTAAACTTTTTTTCCCTCCTTCTCTGCCTGTCCATTTTCGCCTCTCGAGTCCAAATTCGCCTCGCTTTTGCATCCTCAATTTTTTTTTTTCTCTCTCTCTCTCTTCTCGTTAAATCCTTCAACCTTTCTTCGTTTCTTTTCTCGGAATTCTCTTGGATCATCAGTGTCCTCTATTCTCTTTCCTTTCTTTCTTTTCTTTTTTCCCTTTCTTTCTTATCTTTTCTTTGTGTATTGCCCTTGCAAAGATCTGTCCCGCTGGTCATCCTTGTACCTCTGGAAATCTATTCATGTAATAACAGTGATATGGAGCGGATTTTGTTTGATTCATTGCCTATAGTACCCACACATAAGGATAGATAGATAGAAAGATAGATAGAATGAAAGATTGATAGATTGATAGATAGATAAATAGAAAGATTGATTGATAGATAGATAGAGAGAAAGAGAGAGAGAGAGAGAGGGAGAGAGAGAGAGAGAGAGAGAGAGAGAGAGAGAGAGAGAGAGAGAGAGAGAGGAGAGAGAGAGAGAGAGAGAGAAGGAGAGAGAGAGAGAGAGAGAGAGAGAGAGAGAGAGAGAGAGAGAGAGAGAGAGAGAGAGAGAGAGAGAGAGAGAGAGAGAGAGAGAGCGACCCACACACAAAAACCTATTCACACTCTGCATTTCTCGTTCTGTTTCTCCTTTGGTGCTGCGTGGTATGTATGAGGAAAAAAAGCCGAAGAGATCTAAGAACTTTTGTATGTTTAAATATTCACAGAGTCTACCTTTTTTTTCAGTACGCTTAGAATTGTGTTTTTTTTCTCTCTCTCTCTTTTCTGCCTCTCTCTCTCTCTCTTCTGCCTCTCTCTCTCTCTCTCTCTCTCTTCTGCCTCTCTCTCTCTCTCTCTCCCTTCTGCCTCTCTCTCTCTCTCTCTCTCCCTTCTGCCTCTCTCTCTCTCTCTTCTGCCTCTCTCTCTCTCTCTCTCTCTCTCTCTCTCCCTTCTGCCTCTCTCTCTCTCTCTCTCTCTCTCTTCTGCCTCTCTCTCTCTCTCTCTTCTGCCACTCTCTCTCTCTCTCTCTGTCTCTCTCTCTCTCTCTCTCTCTCTCTCTCTTTTCTGCCTCTTTCTCTCTCTCTCTCTCTTTCTTTTTTTTTTTTCTCTCTCTCTCTCTCTCTTCTGCCTCCCCCCCCCCCCCTCTCTCTCTCTCTCTCTCTCTCTCTCTCTCTCTCTGTCTCTCTCTCTCTCTCTCTCTCTCTCTCTCTCTCTCTGTCTCTCTCTCTCTCTCTCTCTCTCTCTCTCTCTTATTAATCTGTTCATTTTTTTGGTTCAGATCATCGATTTATTTCATCGTTAACTTGCAGGTTGAATATTTTGACGCAGGTTTATCTTAACTGAAGATTTGTAAGAAAACTGCGTTCGAATATCAGGGAAAAAAACAAACAAACAAAGCAAAAACTGGCAACTCATTGGCAACTTACGCAAAATCTATTTTAGTTAACATCGCAAAGACAGTAAATATTAATAAAAAAACAATAAATATATCGTATAAAGATTAAAAATAAAGTATAACCACAAGTATAAAGGGATAATTTATTAGAATAATAATGATAATTAAAAAATGGAGAGTGAGTCTCGAGAGTGAGTCGCCAACTTATTTATTAATTCACTTATTTTTTCCTGAAATTAGACACAGTATTGTTATCTTTTTCTCGTGACGCGTGCCATGTATTCTTTATCAGAGAATTTAAGATTTCAATAAAGATGTCAATAATGTTTCTCCCAAACATTTTTTTCGTGATTTTTATTCATACACATGTATAATACCTCCCCTTCCCTCTTTCTGTGTCTGTGTGAGTGTGTGTATATATATATATATATATATATATATATATATATATATATATATATATATATATATATATATATGTATATATATATACAAATGAATAAATATATAAATGTATATATGTATATATACATATATATATACATATATATAAATATATATGTATATATACATAGGGAGAGAGATACATATATTATATATATATACACACATATATATATATAAATATATATATATACACCCCCACCCCAATAACCCCCCCCAACCCACCCTTCACCCCCCCCCCCTCCCACCTCACCCCCCCACCCCCACACAGACCCGCACCTCGCCGTCGGACGCAGCGCCTTAACGAGCAAGCGGCGTCATTAGGCAAAAGGCCTTAATGAGCGAAAGAACAGTGGGAGGAAGCCTCGAGGAGTGACGGGCCGCAGCTGAAACCCTCACAGCTGAAACCCCCGCAGCTGAAACCCCCACAGCTGAAACCCCCACAGCTGAAACCCCCGCAGCTGAAACCCCCACAGCTGAAACCTCCACAGCTGAAACCTCCACAGCTGAAACCCCCGCAGCTGAAACCCCCACAGCTGAAACCTCCACAGCTGAAACCCCACAGCTGAAACCCCACAGTTGAAACCTCCACAGCTGAAACCCCCACAGCTGAAAACCCCACAGCTGAAACCCCCGCAGCTGAAACCTCCGCAGCTGAAACCCCCGCAGCTGAAACCCCCGCAGCTGAAATCCCCACAGCTGAAACCTCCACAGCTGAAACCCCGACAGTTGAAACCCCCACAGCTGAAACCTCCACAGCTGAAACCCCCCACAGCTGAAACCCCCACAGTTGAAACCCCCACAGCTGAAACCCCTACAGCTGGAACCCCCACAGCTTAAACCCCCACAGTTGAAACCCCCACAGCTGAAACCTCCACAGCTGAAACCCCCACAGCTGAAACCCCTACAGCTGAAACCTCCACAGCTGAAACCCCCACAGCTGAAACCCCCACAGCTGAAACCTCCACAGCTGAAACCCCCACAGCTGAAACCCCCGCAGCTGAAAACCCCACAGCTGAAACCCCCGCAGCTGAAATCCCCACAGCTGAAACCTCCACAGCTGAAACCCCCACAGCTGAAACCCCCACAGTTGAAAACCCCACAGCTGAAACCTCCACAGCTGAAACCCCCACAGCTGAAACCCCCATAGTTTAAACCTCCACAGCTGAAACCTCCACAGCTGAAACCCCCACAGTTGAAATCCCCACAGCTGAAACCCCCACAGCTGAAACCCCCACAGTTGAAACCCCCACAGCTGAAACCCCCACAGCTGAAACCCCCACAGCTGAAACCTCCACAGCTGAAACCCCCACAGCTGAAACCCCCACAGCTGAAACCCCCGCAGCTGAAAACCCCGCAGCTGAAACCCCCGCAGCTGAAAACCCCACAGCTGAAACCCCCGCTGCTGAAACCTCCACAGCTGAAACCTCCACAGCTGAAACCCCGCAGCTGAAACCCCCGCAGCTGAAATCCCTACAGCTGAAATCCCTACAGCTGAAACCTCCACAGCTGAAACCCCCACAGTTGAAACCCCCACAGCTGAAACCTCCACAGCTGAAACCCCCACAGTTGAAACCCCCACAGCTGAAACCTCCACAGCTGAAACCCCCATAGCTGAAATCCCCACAGTTGAAACCCCCACAGCTGAAACCTCCACAGCTGAAACCCCCGCAGCTGAAAACCCCGCATCTGAAACCCCCACAGCTGAAACCCCCGCTGCTGAAACCCTTACAGCTGAAATCCCCACAGCTGAAACCCACACAGTTGAAACCCCCACAGCTGAAACCTCCACAGCTGAAACCCCCACAGCTGAAACCCCACAGTTGAAACCCCCACAGTTGAAACCCCCATAGCTGAAACCCCCGCAGCTGAAACCCCTACAGCTGAAATCCCCACAGCTGAAACCCCCACAGTTGAAACCCCCCACAGCTGAAACCCCCACAGCTGAAACCTTCACAGCTGAAACCCCCACAGCTGAAACCCCCACAGTTGAAACCCCCACAGTTGAAACCCTCACAGCTGAAACCTCCACAGCTGAAACCCCCGAAGCTGAAACCCCCGCAGCTGAAAACCCCGCAGCTGAAACCCCCACAGCTGAAACCCCCGCAGCTGAAAACCCCGCAGCTGAAAACCCCGCAGCTGAAACCCCCACAGCTGAAACCCCCACAGTTGAAACCCCCGCAGCTGAAATCCCCCGCAGCTGAAACCCCTACAGCTGAAATCCCCACAGATGAAAGCCCCGCAGAGGGAGGGAGAAGAAGGAGAAAGAGGAGGAGGAGAAGAAGAAGAAGAAAGAGAAGAAGAAGGAGAAGACGGAGAAGGAGGAGAAGAAGAAGAAGGAGAGGAAGGAGAAAAAGAAGAAGAAGAAGACGGAGAAGAAGAAGACGAAGAAGAAGAAGAAGAAGAAGAAGAAGAAGAAAAAGAAGGAGAAAGAGTGGAAGAAGGATAAGGTAGAAAAATGTGGATAATGAAGTTAAGAAAAAGGATGTGGATAACCGAGATAGAGAGAATAAAGACGGGTATAACAGAGATGGAGAGAACAAAGATAACGAAGACGAAAAGAACAAACACGGAGAATATTGATAAATCTCAGGTAATACATTGCAATCTTTGCGTAATTTCTTTGCCTACTTGTTGCATAATTATGGCACGTTTTATTTCAGGAGAAAAACAAAACAAAAAAAACTGGCAACTTAACCCAAGCTCTGGACGTCTCCGATTCGCTAAGTCGATTTTGAGAAAAAATAGTAAGATAATCTGAAAGCAACATATTTCGCTAAAAAAGTAAAGAAAAAAGAAAAAAAAACTTTGTATATTACATTTGAAACTCCTAATAGATATAAATACAAAGATTATGATAAAAATGAATAGAACAACAACAACAAAAAAACTACAATAACTATAATAATAATGATAATGATAATAATAATCGTACTGATAACGGTGATGATAATTGCAACAGTAATGATATTCATACAGATAATGGTAATGATGTGATGATGATGGTGATGATAAAAGTAATGATAGCAACAACAATATTAATGGTAATAACGATGATGTGAATAAGGACAAGGATGATAATTGTAATAATAGTAATAATAATGATAATAATGATGATGATGATGATGATGATAATGATAATAGTAATGCTGCTGCTGATGATAATAATGATAATAATAATAATAATAATAATAATAATAATAATAATAATAATAATAACAGTAATAATAATAATGACATCAATAATCTCTCTCTCTCTCTCTCCCTCTCTCTAAAGGAATAAATACACACATACACACACACACACACACACACACATATACATATATATATATATATATATATATATATATATATATATATATATATATATATATATATATATATATATATATATATATATATATATATATATATATATATATATATATATATATATATATATATACATATATATATATATATATATATATATATATTATATATATATATATATAATATATATATATATATATATATATATATATATATATATATATATATATGCATATACACACACACATATGTGTGTGATAATAGAAATAATAATAATAAAAATAATATTATTAATAATAATAATAATAATGATAATAACAATAATAATGATAATAATGATACTACTACTACTACTACTACTAATAATAATAATATTAATTATTATTATCATTATCATCATTATTACCATTATTACCACCATCCTAATCATCATCATTATTAATACCACTCTAAATAATCTACAACAGTAAAATTCCCCCAATAACATTAAGATAAATAAAGATATTTCGGTAAAAATACTCATAAAACAAAACCAACAGTAACGACCATAAGAATAACAACAAACATCCAAAACCAAAAAAAACAAAAAACAAAAACGCATCGACTCAACAGTATTCAGCATCTACTACTATGCTACCCGATCCCCTTTAGGCTGAAGAAAGACAGCGCAACCTCAGTAACGATAACAGTAACAGTAACAGTAACGATCATAAGAATAACAACAAACATCAAATAAAAATAAACAAAAACGCATCGACTCAACAGCATTCAGCATCTACTACTATGCTACCCGATCCCCTTAAGGCTGAAGAAAGACAGCGAAACCTCGACCCGATGCTTCAACTGCCTGGAAAATTATTATTAGGTTCCGCCACTTATAGGGCAGAGAACCATGATCGAGCCATCGGTTAAGGTCTTTTCTACCCTTCGGTTTTGGAAGGATTTTCGACTCTACTGCCAAGTCGGAGTGGACATTTTCTTCCATCTCAACTCCAGTGAAGCAGACTGAAGGTACTCGAAGAAAAAATCATTGTTATAGGCAGATATTTCTTTCATTCCACGTAGTTTATGATTATTATTTTTTCCTCGTTTCTTTTTTCTTCTATTTTAGTGGTCACTTGTATTCTACAAATAGACAGATCCTCCTTACTTGAAGAAGAAAAACAGCAACAGCAACAACAGAAAGAACAATAATTACTGCAACAGCACCACTAATAGCGTCAACAACAACATCATCAACAACAACAGTAGCAAACCAAAAACAACAAAAACAACAAAGACTATAACTACGACATTAAAAACAGCAACAACACCAACAACAACAAAAGCAATATCAACAAAAGCAACAACAACACCAACACCAAAAAAGCAACAACAAAAAAAACATCACATATCAGGGGTTCGAAAACTCGACTGTTCGACCACGTTTCCATCGTGTTCTCAAATGTTATTGTTCATCCAGCGCACAGTGAACAGAAATAGACTCTCTGCACAACGCTTATCTCGGCGTGAAGCTCAAATATTTAAAGAGATCTTCACTCCGGGCGCGATAATCAAGTGTTATTATGCTTATTAGTATTTTTTTCATTGTTGGAGCTATTTTATTATTTTTATTGCTTGATAAATCATATGCATTGCTATAATGTGACACACACACACGTACACAAACACACATACAAATACAAACACACACACACAAATACACACACACACACATACAAACACACACACACATACAAACACACACACACACACACACACACACACACACACACACACACACACACACACACACACACACACACACACACACACACACACACACACACGTCTGTATAAATATAAACGTTCCCTTCAAAATCTTTAGGCCTAAAAGTTCGCATACACGCAGATTAGCACACCTGACGACGCCCGTCACCCCCCTCCCCCCCTAATCACCCCAATCAAAGGAATGGCAGCGGCGCGTATAAAGATGGAGCGTGAATATAGAGCAGGAATCATGACACCCATTCCTGAATTCCATTGATTCTCGTTGGTGTTATAAACAAGTAAGCGTTTTTTTTTTTTCTTTTTTTTCTGGGGGGGGGAGGGGGACTTTTCATTGTATTTGATTTAGTATTTAATTATTTTCTTATTAGTATTTAGTGTTCAAGTTCATAAGACAAATGGATATTGAGATAAATTTCAAATATCAGAGAGATATATGAATCCTTTTGCATATTGAAAATTTGACTGAATGAATATCACTTTTTTCCAACCAGGAAGAATGTTGCAAAACAGGAAAAAATTAACTCCTATATGTTATGGTACAAAATTTGATGTTTCTAAGAAAGTAGCAACAAACAAACATACGTTTTGCATCTTATTTGTATCTCATTTGCATTTTTATATCTTCGGATCATCCTGTGCATCACGATATCAACACATAACGAAGTATTAGTATTCTGCGTTGCACACAAGACGGCAGATGCAATAACGTGGTACAGTAATGAGGAGAAAATGTGCCGTGTTGTCTGTTGCAAAGTTGATGAGGCAAGGGTTGTCAGTGAGGCAGGAATTAAGGAGGCTGCAAGACCTCATTAACCAGACAGTAATGCAGCGGAAATACGAAGGAGAGAGAGAGGGGGAGGGGGAGGGGGAGAGGGGAGGGGGAGGAAGGGGAGAGGGGGAGGGGGAGGGGGAGAGGGGAGGGGGAGGAAGGGGAGAGGGGAGGGGGAGAGGGGAGGGGGAGGAAGGGGAGAGGGGGAGGGGGAGGGGGAGAGGGAGAGGGAGAAGGGGAGGGGCAGAGGGGGAGGGGAGGGGAGAGGGAGAGGGAGAGGGAGAAGGGGAGGGGGAGGGGGAGAGGGGGAGGGAGGGGGGAGAGGGGGGAGGGAGGGGGAGAGGGAGACGTAGAGAGAGAGAAAGAGAAAGAGAGAGAGAGAGAGAGAGAGAGAGAGAGAGAGAGAGGGAAAGAGAGAGAAAAGAAGAAAAAGGTGAGAGAGAGAGAGAAAGAGAGAGTGAAAGAGAGAGAGAGAGTGAGAGAGAGAGTGAGAGAGAGAGTGAGAGAGAGAGTGAGAAAGAGAGAGAGAGACAGATAGAGAGAGAGAGAGAGAGAGAGATAGATGGATAGTAGATAGATAGATAGATAGAGAGATAGAGAGAGATGAGAGAGAGAGAGAGAAGAGAGAGAGAGGAGAGAGAGGGAGAGAGAGAGAGAAAGAGAGAGAGAGAGAGAGATAGAGACAGAAAGAGAGAGAAGAAAAAAAAGAAGAGAGATGAAATACAAGGATAAACTAGTGAGAAATAGATAACTATAATTTACGTGTGTCGCCTTATGCAAATGTTTTTACTCATCTAATTATTTTTTCCAATTATATGTATCTGATTATTATAATAAAGATAATGTGCTTTTTGATGAAGACCCCTTTATAATTACACAGGCGATTCCTGAATTGAGATCTTTATTAGGTCAGAACCTTAACAAGATGCATTAAATATTCATGTGATTATGTCGAATAGTTAAAAGATCTTCCGTAGTCAGTCTTCATTTTTTTCTGTCCTTTTTAATAACGTCTGTAATGATAATTATAATAATTATAGTGAAGATTTATTCGTCAGAGGTATTATATCATATTTTTATTTTATTTTATTCATTTATGTATTTCTTATTTTATTTTTTTAAAATAAATTATTGTTATCATTTTCTTTTACTACGCAATAAATATATGCAAATGACACTGTCGACACTTCCACTTTGCTATTGCGTAAAGAAGACGAAGAAAACGTATATATATATATATATATATATATATATATATATATATATATATATATATATATATATATATATATATATGTGTGTGTGTGTGTGTGTGTGTATATATATATATATATACATACACACACATGA